GGCTCTCATTGTCCTGTCTCTTTTACAGTGAAACTCTGTCCCCAGTAAATACCTTGGCATCCGAGACCCAGCAGGGAGGGGTGGGAAGGGGGGACCAAAAGCACTTCAGGACTTGAGAGAAGCTAAACCGTTGACCTTCTAGTAGCACAGCCCACACTGTTGGAGGAAGTCGCCTCCACTGCTAGCAAAGGCAGACCCTAGGAGCAGACCAAAGGGATCACCTTGACCTCTACAAAGGCCTCAATCTCTAGGGCAGGGAGCCAGTCTGAGAAAGAGAACTTCACAGAGCTGGCGCCCGAGTCACTTGCTCCTCTCTTACCAAGAGACACAAAGAAAGGAGTCTCCTTACATACCCCCAAATCAATTAATCTCTTCTCTCTCTCTCTCTCTCTCTCTCTCTCTCTCTCTCTCTCATACACACACACACACACACACACACATCAATCAATTTCAAAACCCCCACCCCACTCCCTCATTTGCTCCCACTCTTAAGGCTCCATGAATTGCCAACAAGTTCATACCAGAGACTACCTGACTGTCCTTCCCAGGTAAGGATCTTGCCCTTACCTTCCCTCCCTTCCAAACTCCAGGTTATTTAGTGCTAACTCGGCGCAGGCAGATTTTTTGAGCAGCTGCACATCTTTATCTTCCTAAACAGAATCCCTAAGAATCATGCAAATCCTCACTCGGGCTTACCCTGGATTCTATTTCAGGGGACTCCCTGGGGATATGTCTGCCTTCTGAAGCCACCCGAGTCTAGCAGATTTACAGTACCCACTTTTTGGATGTACAGCCAAGAAAAAAAAATGCAAACAATTTCAATAAGAGGTTGGAAATATCTGCACCCAACTCACCTATTCTGGGTGCTAATGGTACCAAAAGTGTTTCATGAAAACATGCGCACTGGGCCAAAGCCCCAGGGCACGAGGAGCCTTGCTCTAAAACCGTCCAGAGGCAGAACCTACTGCCTATATTTTTCTTAGCCACGAAACAGATGCAGGGTGTAAATGACTTTCCACTGAGCATCTTCAAAACAGATGCAACTATCTGATAAATGTTCCCTCTGCCCAAAACAACAGTCAATGGAGACTAGACAGGCAACCCTGAGGTCACTGAGTATTTTAAAAACTTCCATCCTTTGCATCCCATCCTCATGACTTTTGCCACATCTGAGTGCAAATTCTACTCTACCATCCTAGCTTTAAAAAATAAAGTTTCTTTTATGCAATTAAATGTTCTTTAATGAAAACTTTCTATCACCTCTATAATGAGGCATACAGAATTAGCTGCCATAAAAATAAGGTAACTCTAAAAGCAAAGACAATGAAAGCCAAGTAACATTACTGGCTTTGGCCTCTCAAATGTAAAGGGAGATGAGCCAATGTTAAGGGTGTGAGACTCACATTGCCACCTGGAATGAATGGGAAAGGGGAAAAGGACTGCATCTGGATTAAGGCAGGAACTACAGTGAGAAGACAAATGCTGATGGCTTTATTTCCATCTCCTCTTCACTGCCTGAGGAATACTCATACCTTAGCTTATTTCTCAGAGACAGGGGTGTTATCAAGGCCCAAAGTTTCACCCGAAAGCAATCAACTGGGGCAAGGCTTCTCTTCAAAACACCCAGGTCTATGAGAGAGTCAATGGCCACATTATTTTTCTATTTTCAACGAAAGATTTTGGACAGCAAAGGAGCAGTAATTTTCTAGCATCTGAGATATTACACAGTTGACAGATGATGGCACTGACAAATCACCCGAGGAAATTCTGGCCCGGCTAGGTCAGCCAGAACCCCGGACAGCAGGAGGGCCTGGACCTGGACATGCGAGTGGGAGGGAAAGTATGTTAGCAAATACGAAAACAGCAAGGTATTCTTTCCTCTGCAATACTGACCTTCAGCAGCTCAAGGTCACACCAAAGTGCTCAAACCTTAGGAGCTTGTACCTGTTTCCCAGAGTTCAGTTGAAAAGTTTGTTTTCCAACCACAGAAACACTGTCACCTTATAGAATCCTGAAATTTCTCTATTTTGAGATTTAAAAAGGGCAACACCTGGAGATTGTGACCACTGAAGTGCAATAGATTTGTGATTAAATCTCATTGCTGTCACTTACTAGGCCTCCGTTTGCTCATCTGAAAGTGGGGATATACTGCTGAAGGCTGTTTTGAGGATCAAATGAGGCAATGAACTTAAAATGTCTGGCACAGTACCAGGTTCACAGTGGCTTAGACCCTAAAATCCATGAACAGTATTAGTTTCAAAAAGCCATAAATATCCATGAAATTATTAATTTAGCACTTACTACATGACATGTACTGCATGGTTAATATGGTGCTATCGATGTACCAACTCCTTTAATCTCTCAGAACCCATAAAGTCAGCCAGATGAGAACATGGAGGCACGAGGAAAGTTAGTAGCTTGCCCAAGGTCACAGGGTTAAACAGCAGAGTCAGGAATGAAACCTAGGCAGTCTGGCTCCAGAGCTCACACGCCTAACCCTCTGTGCTGTGCTGCCTCTAAAATGCCAGAGAGAAGTTGCCAAAAGAGCCCAAAATAATGAATGAGGGATAGTTACACACTAAAACAATCACAGTAAAATATTTATGGCAGAACCTGGTAGCAGGCACATACATGGGTGTTTCAACTTTGCTGTATGTTTAAAATTTTTCACAATAAAATGTTGGGAAGAGAGTGAGGAAGAGTCCAGAATATCAATTCCTGCTCCAAAATGGCAGACCCCCCCAAAGAGGATCTGCCAATGTCATGGTGAGAGGATTTAAAAACCGCATCCCAGTTAAACTCCACAGGCCACTGAACCAAGTTGCAGGTGGCTCCAACTGGGGCCAAAGGCTGGGCAGGAAGAGAAGCACGCGGCTGGAAAGCTGGGTCCTGACCGTCTCCCCGGTGGCAGCGTGAATGGAGACGCCGGGCCAGAGCGGTCATCTGGAAACCGTTTCTTGACACTGTCCATGCAAACAGATCCTGCCTCTCCTGACACAGCTCAGAACGCAGTGGTCAGACCATCCTATCTCTAAGTGCTGGCAAGCACCCAAGACGAGTGAAAAGATTTCAACTTCTCAGGCACCCAGATGAGAACCAGCTCTTAAAAGCCTCCCAGAGAATGAAAGGGAGGAATGGGTGAGGCAGGGGTTTCACCCAGAGGCGGCTGGGCCAGCAATTAACACGGTGGAGGTGGGGGAGGGGGAGGGGACAGGTTTGTGTCTTCCCAGAATGCACCCGTGGTTTGTGCTCTACATACTTTGATGAGATAAGCACTTCAACGGAAGGCCTCCCACCAGACTGGGTCTGGTGCTAGGCAGGGAAAAGAGAAATTGGAAGGAAAGGATGATAAGGAATAAGGGGGTGGAATTTTAGGCATGTCCATGTAGAGCTGGTAAAAGTAGAAAACGGTGCGTCATTTTGGAAGGGCAATTGGGCAATGTAATAAAAAATATAAAATGTATTTACATTTTGAACCAAAAAGGCTAGTACTGGGATTTTACTTTATAAGTACAATATGTGCATAAAGATGGGGGTCCAAGGATACATTACTCATGGCAGCAGTATTTGTAAAAACAAAGGCTGCAAGAACCGTATGCTCATCGGAGGGGCTGGTTAAATGAATTATGCATGGAACAGTCACATGAAGGTGAACTCCACGTCACTGAGAAGAATGAAGCCAATCTCAGGGCTAATGGAAAAGGGGCTCCAAAACAGAGTTGTAAATATTACTAAAAATAATGAGCAGAAACTGATATATACATATCATCAAAAATACATTAAGTACACACACACACACACACACACACATATGTATATACACTCTGTTTTCTATTTTTTCTGTGTATTTTTTAAAGGAAAGAGGGAAAGGGAAGAGGAACAAGAATATACTTCAACAGTATAAACAATGTTTAGACAAGAAGCCATTAAAGGTGATTCCATCTAGAAGTGCGGGAGTCTGGGAACCAGACTTTTCATTCTGTACACTTTTGCAGCCTCTGAATTTTTTATTCTGTATCTCTACTCCCTTATTACTTTGAGTAAAAGTAATTACAGTGGGGCCTTGACTTACGAGTGCCCCGACTAATGAGTTTTTCGAGATACGAGCCGTCTCTCGGCCGATTTTTTGCTTTGAGTTGCGAGCTAAAATTCAAGTTACGAGCCAGCTTCAGATACCCCACCGCTAGTTGGCACAGCGAACATCCCAGTGAACGCCACAACATCAGCCCAGCATCACGTGTCTCACTCGTTCACTTTTTGATTGGACATACGAGTAATTTGAGTTACGAGCTCCGTCACGGAACGAATTAAACTTATAAGTCAAGGCCCCACTGTATGTATGGGCATACCAAATTAGACCACTGAAAGGGTATTTTATGTAGCTTCACAATGTATTTATTGTATTGTTTGAATTATTTCCTAAGGAATAGTGACAATTAGTGGCGAACCCTCAAATACTGTACATGTGTGTAGGATGTTGAAGCTCACTTTCATATACATAACTACTCCTGATTAAAATCTCCAAGACAAAAATGTGTCACTTCCATGGACATTCTATCAAGGATCTCTTGAGTTATTAAAAAGCAAAGTCTCAGGCTGTTGATTTTTGGAAATCAAGTTGATTCATAAGGTTTCCAAATAATTAAAACCCAGTCTTCTTTAAAATCATAGGCTTCCCTTTAAGTATATGCAACACAGGTGATGCAATGCAGAAAACTCTCGGATACCGCACCTGCCTGCTGAGCTGGTAAGATTTTGAAAAGGCATTTTACTGATGCCCTTTAGTTGCCAGTAAAAACATGTAGGACTAAGATCACCACCAGCCAAGAGGGCAGTGGTGAAATATGATGAGGCCCTATTGTTTGTGTAAAATAATACTCCCTCTGTCCCATAATAATAGTAGCAGTTGATGAATGTAATTTGTCCCATAATAATAGTAGCAAAAGAAAATAAATATAGAACGCAACATTTATTATCAAAAAACTAGATTAAACAATAAATTAAAAATAGTACTCCTAATTTTTATTTTGAGAGTTCAGACAGTTTCTGGATTTTTCAATAATTTCGTTACTGCATTTTAAACTTCTAGGTAGGATCCCTTGGCTGCGAGGCTTTGCTTTCCCTATGTGCGTGAGCTTAAAGTTATTGGAGCCGTCGTTCTTCATTGCTTCCAGCATAACTTGTTGAAGTGACAGAAACGTTTGTATCCAGTATTTCGGGAGAAATATTATCAAAGGCTAATATGGTGCCTCTTCTGCTAAGAGGACTATGTCTAAGTTTTACAAGTTTTTCTCCATAATCTTTGCATTTATGTCCACAGTTTTGTTTTTCCAAAGAATCAACATTAGCATAAGATTCTCCTTGACAATTATTTTCGGAAGCACGTTTCCAAATTCTTGATATGGTCATTGTGTTGCACTTAAATTGTTTTGCAGCTAACGTAATTGCACCTTTCTGCAACTTTCCCTTTTTCTTTTGATGCATCAAGAACTGGACAATTGCAACTCGATCTTTGCTTGAAAACTCTCTTTTTTTCATCTTACTTTTACAATGGGTCGATATTCAACTGAAATAAAACAATTGATTTCGATCAGCGGATGAAATTAGAAAAAGTTATAATTCGTAATAATTAGATTAACCTAAAAATTGAAAGATGTGTCAAAACAAAGGACAGATGTCATGAAACACTGATTTTGATTGAAGGCTTCGCAATTTTGTGCTACAACATAACTTACAGCTGCATTCGCCAATAATTCCCGTTTAAATATTCACTTGCTACTATTATTATGGGGCAGAGGGAGTAGTTGATTCATACGGAATGTAGCAGTTTATTTGGAACTTAGTCAAAACATTTCTATGAGCTTGCTACCACTGAATGCCTACTATGTGTTAGACATTTCATAGGACTCCCTTAAATTTAATACCCAACTTAGGATATAACTAAAGGAAGGAGTTGCTAAGTAACTTGCTGTATTAGCAACATTGGGCAAAAGGCTAAAACCCAATTCAAAATAATTCAGGTGAAACAGTAAAGTTGTATAAACTGAGGTCCTTCCCAGAACCCAAGCGAAGGAAAGAGGTTGGCCCCGGGAAAGGAAGTGGAGACTGGAGCTTCATGCTCTCTCACTGCACACCAGCTTCCTCCACATGCCACACACATGGCTCTCCGGCCCTGTCCGTATCTGTGACAATTTCAGCAGCAGCAGGGCCATCTCTCATGTTTGGAATTGGGAGCACTGGGGCCATCTTTGCAGTGGGGGGCTGCCCTGAGCTCTGTGGAGTGTTTTGAGGACATGCCTGCAGCACCTCCCGCTTCCCCCAGCTGTGAAAACCAAACTGTCTCCTGACACTGCCAAATGCCTCCAGAAAGCAAAACTGTCAGTGACCTAGAGCAGCTGAATCACTCGCTCAGTCTGCTTTCCCAAGGGCTAAGGGAGGGCTCTGATTGGCTGGCTTGTGGCTAAAACCTAGACAAATAAACCATAATTTATTGCAGGCACAAGAGGACACCTGATAGACTTGTGGTTTAAGGGGACCGGTTCAGAAGGAGAGAGCTGTCACTCTACCACAGCCATCTGGCTTCCCCTGACCCTCTCCAGTCAGTGCTGTCTAAAACGGCAGGCACTAGTGGCCACGAATCACTTGAAATGCAGCTGTATTTGAAATTTGAAGAACTGCATTTTAAATTTTATTACACTTTAATTAAGTTATATTTAAATAACCACATGTAACTACTGGCTACCAAATAGGACAGCACAACTCTAAGTATTGAGAGATTTCAGGTTTCTTTAGAACAGCTGCTGGGACATACAAGGTGCTAAATAAGTTATTTGTTGAATGAATGAATGGACAAAGCTGGACCCAGAATCTGGAAAGGAAAAGATTATTAGACAAAGCCAGATGGCTCCAGTCTAGGGAGAATGGGAACTCAGCAACAGAGAATCAGGAAAGCGGCTGGTCAAGAAGGTGGAGAAGGTAAACGCGGTGCTTGCCTCCTCCCACAGCCACATCAAAACTACAACTAAACCACAGAACCACCGTCACTGCGAACTGCCAGCTGAACAGAATTCCGTAACAAAGACAGACATACCGAAGAAGCCAACACGAGGCTTTAACTGGTATGAAGGGCAGAAACACAGAACAAGCTGGTCCCACACCCACATGTGGCAGCTACAGACGTCCTCCCTAAGAAGCGAGGTCCCCCAGCCCAGGGTTCCCGTGCTGGGAAGAGAAACCCCCATAACTCTGCCTGTGAAAACCAGCAAGGATAGAGGCTGAGTGAGACGGAGCCTACTGGAGTCCCAGATGTTCCTCTTAAAGGGCCCACACACAGAATTACGTGGACTCAGTTGCTGAGCTCCAGCACAGAGCCAGAAGCTCCAGAGGCACCAGGGACATATGAGAAGGAACTGAACGGTCTGGCTTCAGAACAAGGACTGGAGGGGCAGCTTTCTCCCAGACAGAAGGGCTGGCAGGGGCCACTGTTCCTTTGCTGAGCCCTCCCCCAGCAGGTGCAAGCCAGGGCCACATCTGAGTGTCTATCAACCTGGCTAATACCCTTAATCCTGCCCTGGTGATTCCCTAAGACCCCACCCCATCCAACTTATAGTGCATCCAAGTGCATCCAACTTATAGTGCTTCCAGTGGCTTTTCTGTACAAATGCCCATTCTTGGCTCATGGTGTGGACTTAAACTTCCCAAAGGCTCACAAACCCCAAACAAGCAGCATCCAGCCTCAGCATGCCACAAAGCTCAGGTAAGTGGCCCCAAGCCCGAAACTAGCAACAGCCAGCCTCAACTGGTAGCTTAGCCTCTCCAGGCACCTCCAAGCCCAGCAGAAGTAGCAACCATCTGAAGATCACTTTGTAGCTCATACCAGGTGGCCCTGTGCCAGGGCATAGGCATTGGGTGACCATGGCTTGTACCAGAAACTCTCCCAAGAGGCCCCAGAACCAACACACCCGGTGGCCAGCTTCACACCATGCCAGAGCACCACCCAACCACCTCACCCAAAAGACACACTCAAAGGTGCAGTCAGCAGGCACCAGAGCCCTCTTAACACAAATCCTGCTCCATAGGGTCAACACCTGCACAGCAGCTGTAGTCATGGTCAGTCCTCACCGCCAATCAGCCTCCCACTAATGTGCCAACAGCAATCAAGGCTCAACTATAATGGAGGGAACACACAACCCACACAAGCGACAAACCTGAAGCACCCAGCTCAGGTGACCAGGGAGACTGCACTACTGGGACCCACAGGAGACCTACTACATAAGGCCACTCTACCGAGCACAGGAAATGTAACAGCTCTACCTAATACATAGAAACAAACACAGGGAGGCAGCCAAAACGAGGAGACAAAGTAACATGTCCCAAATGAAACTCCAGAAAAAGAACAAAACAAAAAAAATGGAAACAAGCAATCTACCAGCTGCAGAGTTCATAACACTGGTTACAAGAATGCTCAATGATTTCAGTGAGGACTTCAACAAAAACACGGGAAACATAAAAATGGAGATAAAAATCATTTATAAAAAACAGTCAGAAATGAAAAATACATTAGAGGAAATCAACAACAGATTAAGTAGAGGATCAAATCAGGGATTTGAGGATAAGGTAGCAGAAAACTCTCATAATTAAAATACTAAAGGTTAAAGACAAAGAAAATCTTAGAAGCAGCAAGAGAAAGACAGTTATTTACAAAGGAGCACTCATGAGACTGTCAGTTGATTTCTCAAGAGAAACTCTGCAGACCTGAAGGGATTGCAAGAAATATTCAAAGTGATAAAAGGCAAGATTCTACAACCAAGATAACTCTACCCAGCAAAACAATCATTTAGAATCGAAGACCAGATAAAGGGCTTCCCAGACAAGAAAAAGATAAAGGAGTTCATCACCACCAAACCATTATTATAAGAAATGCTAAAGGGATTTATTTAAGAAGGAGAGGGGGTAAGATTAAAAAAATGAATAATAAAATGGCAATAACTATATACCCATCAATAAGTACTTTAAATGTAAATGGATTAAATGCTCCAACCCAAAGATAGGATTGGCAAAAAGGGTAAGAAAGGAAGACCCTTATATATGTTGTCTACAAGAGACTCATCTCAGATAAAAAGACACACACAGATTGAAAGTAAAGGAATGGAAAAGAAATCTCATAAAAATGGAAGTGAAAAAAAAAAAAGCTAGGGTAATGATACTTAAAACAGATAAAATAGGCTTTACAACAAAGACTATAATAAGAGACAAAGAAGGACCCAGCAATTCCATTTCTGGGTATTTAACTGAAGAAACCGAAAACACTAATTCAAAAAGACATAGGTATCCATATGTTCACTGCAATATTATTTACAACTAGAGGCCCGGTGCACGAAAATTCATGCACTGGAGGGGGTCCCTCAGCCCGGCCTGCCCCCTCTCACAGTCCAGGAGCCCTCAGGACATGTCCTACTGACAGCTTAGGCCCGCTCTCTGCAGGAGGCAACCAGCCAATCAGGGGAAGGTACCGCCCCCATCACGCCTCTGCTGCTGCCACTGCCAGCCGCTGTGGCTGCCTGAGCCTCAGCCCTCATAGCCACCGTGGCCTGCCTGAGCCTCGGGCCAGCCCTCGCAGCGGCAGCCGCCATCCGCAGCGTGCCTGAACCTCAGGCAGCCACTGTGGCTTTGTCCAGAAGGACGTCCAGAAGACCTCAGCTCTAATTAGCATATTATCCTTTTATTAGTATTGATAGCCAGGATATGGAAGCAATTTAAGTGTTCATCAATAGATGAACAGAAAAAGAAGTAATGCATACATACAATGGAACAGTACTATGCCATAAGAAGAATGAAATCTTGCCATCTGCAACAACATGGACCTAAAAGGTATTGTGCTGAGTGAAATAAGTCAGACAGAGAAAGACAAATGCCATATAACTTGACTTACATGTGAAATCTAAAAAACAAAATGAAGGAACAAACTCATAGATACAGAGAACATTTTGATGGTTGCCAAATGGGAGGGGAAGTTGAAGGGGTGGGTGAAAAAAGTAAAGGGATTAAGAAGTTCAAATTGGTAGTTACAAAATAGTCACAGGGAATATAAAGTATGGCATAGAGAATATAGTCAATAATATTGTAATAACTATGTATAGTGTCAGAAAGGTATTAGATTTATTGGGGTGACCACTTCGTAAGTTATATAAATGTCTAATCACTATGTTGCACACCTAAAATTAATATAAAATTGTATGTCAACTGTAACTGAAAAATAAAAATTTATTTTAAAAAAAGAATCAGGAAAATGGAAGTAAACCCAAGGGTCTATTGATAGATGAATGGATAAACAAATCTGACACAGACTTATAATGGAGTATTATTCAGCCCAAAAAGGAAGGAAATTTTGACACACGGATGAATCTTGAAGACATTATGTTAAATGACGTAAGCAAGTCAAAAGATAAATATTTTATGATTCTATTTATATGTGGTATGCGGAGTAGTCAAATTCATTGAGATATAAACCAGAATGGCAGTTGCCTGGGGCTGCGGGGGCGGGGGGCAGGAAGTAGGGAGTTAGTGTTTGAAAAGACGAAAAAGTTCTGTAGGTGGATGATGGTGATGGTTGTACAACAATGTGAATGTAATTAATGCCACAAAAAGACCTGTACATTTAGAAATGGTTAAAATGGCAATTTTAATGTTTTGTATATTATACCATAAAAGGAAAGAAGGGAGGTTAAGGGAGGAAGACAGGGAGAAGGAACAAACCTTAATGCTTAATGCTTTCTTGGCTCTTCAGACCACCCCTGTTTTAAAATTATACACCCATGCCCTCTGCCACGGAACTCTGCAGTGCTTTCTGACTTGGACGGAGCGTGCCTCTCTGCACCAGGAATGCCGCGTTTGACCACGCAGTCTGCTTTGGCCAATGAACGTCCCCAGGCATGACAAGCGGAGGCTTCACATGTGCTTTTGCAGTGCAGCTAGCCCGCTTGCACTCTGGTGATCGGTCCACCATGAGCAGAACATGTCAGTGGAGCTGCTAGTCAGAGAAGAAAGAGGAAAGAAATACAGCAAACCCCAACCCAACCCCACACTCTGGAACCAAGACCATCCTGACAAAAGCCACCCACGAACCTATGACTGAGAGAAAGACATCCTTGTAGATTATGGGTTTGGGAGCAGTTTGTGACAGAGCGGGTTTGTAGCAAGAGCTACCTGATACAGTGAGTTTCCACGGGCATGACGTTACCACCTGGAAAATGGTCAAGGAATAATGAATACTTGCCACAAGAGTGCTTAAGAATCAGCTTCATTCTAGATTTATAAATACATCCGGTTTTTAAATATGCCCTGAATTATGCACATTTACGAATCGTTGTTTAGAAGGCCCACCAGGCCTCTGAGCCTTAGAGAAGGTGGGCCCCGTGCGGAATGGTACTTCATTCTTGAGGACCTGTGGCTTATGGTTTTAAGTGGTGCTGAACCTGAGAAAACAAATCCCGGCACCTCTCAGAACTCAGTATCATCCCTGGAGACCATCTGACTGTAAAAGGATCCCATTTGAAATGCTCCCTGAAGCACTTCAGGCCTCACTCCGCGTTCTCCTTTTAAAATTTCTCCTTTCAGCAGCCCCTGGCAGGCACTCTGAGCTGGCAGCCAACATGCTCTACTATCTGAGACCCTTCACCCAGAAAGGAAATTAAATCTGCATCCAAGTCAAGCAAATGTGTTTATGCAATTCAAAAAAAAGCCAAACCATGAAAACTCAGCGGGCTCACAGGAGCCCTGTCATCATTGCACAGATCCGTGAGGCTGACTCAGGCGCAGCCTCGCTGCCACCAGACAGGCGGCCTGGCCTCCTGCATCCTGCTGGGGGGAGCCCTGCCCAGCTTCCTGCCATGTGCTTCCCTGGGCTTGACCCCGCTCCACGCCCAGCTTCCCTTCACCTCTGCACCAAGTGGCCCAGGAGGCAGAAGGTTTGGAATTTCACCCCCCAGGGAATGAACTTCTTACCCTGCTATGAAGCGCAACATAGCTTCCTCTTGGGCACCCTCACTAATCATGCTGTACCCAGCAAGAAGGAGACGGAAAACCCAGGGGCAAATGGGAAAAGACCCCCTGGGGCTGAAGGGATAGCATGTGGGAAAAGACTGGTTCAGGGAATAAGGGCACCGGGCTAGTCAAGGCTTTCTCAGTCCCACTGCTTTCTCCCAGCAGCTCAGCCAATCCCCAATTCTGCCACATCGCATGGCAAAGCTCAGCCAATCCCCAATTCTACCACATCGTATGGCAAAGCTCAGCCAATCCCCAATTCTGCCACATCACATGGCAAAGCTCAGCCAATCCCCAATTCTGCCACATCACAGGCAAAGCTTAACCAATCCTCATTCTGCCACATCACATGGCAAAGCTCAGCCAATCCCCAATTCTGCCACATCGCATGGCAAACTGGCTCCCATCACTTGTTGGGAAAATGACAGTACATAAAGCAGCAGATGAGGGAACACATGCAATAGCAGTAGAGAAAGAAGTGAAAGGAAGAAGGCCATTACAAGAGAGATTTATGACAAAGCCATTGTAAACACAAACAATTCAAATTGCCTCACTATTGTTAGAAAGATGTTCACCAGAAGATGAAATTTTGCTGATTGCGCCTTAGCAATTTTAAACATTTTACAATGCAGTTATGTTCCACTGTCTAATGTGTATGTCATTTACATATGATATACACATTGGTTTCTTCATTTGAATTGTAATTTAATTAATTAAGTAGGCATTTCTTTTAACTTAGTTTCTTTTATGTAACCTCCTGGGCAGTCAGCATTGTCTGACCTTTACTTACCTTGAATCATTTTATTCCCGGACTTTTTCTGAAAGTTCCTATTCAGCCTGACACTTCATGTATTCCTGCTAAAATCGGATGATCCCTCTGCAGGGTTCGGGTTGGGGGAAAGAGGCTGCTAATGATGAGAATGATAGTGAAAGAGAAGGGAAAATCAGACAAGAAGAAAAATCTTATATTCAACCATTAGCAGTCAACATTTATTAAGTACAATATGCATATACTCAATTCTCAGAACGACATAAAAGTAGGTTGATATTATTCTAATTTCATATATGGGAAAATAAACTACAAGTGCTTAGGCATCTTGACTGTAGTCACACATCTGGTAAACAGTGGTGCTCAATTAAAGTCCTTTGCTCCAAACAATGTCACTGGTGCCCTGCCCTCCAGGTGGGTGCCAAATACCTTTATGAAGACAAAAGGTAATGCGACTTGGTATACTCTCAAGAGACATCAGTCCACTCATCTCCACCCCATTTTAACACTGGTCAGAATTTAGAGATAAAGCATGTTTACATGAGGCCTCTAATCTGGTATTTTCTCTCCTCCTCCACTTCACTTCTTTCTTCACCTCCTCCCCCCCCCCTTTTTTTTCATCTTCAGCACCTTCATAAAGACAGTACCAATAAGTTCCTTTATGCTGCACAGAATTTGATAATATACTAGTACACCACTTAAAGTTCTGACTATTATAGCCTCCATGATATTTTGATAAAAATTTGGCCAAACCATGCTTTAAGGGCTCAGTTTGCACGTAGCAAACAGAAAAACTAAAGTCTCCGGGCAAAATTATAAAACTCTGGAAACATGCAACATGATATTACGCATCAATACACAAGCACATACGTTTCTGTATAGCAAAGTAACTAAGGCATTGAGATCTAGATTTGAATCTCACCTCCACCTCATTGATTTGTGGACTTTGTGCTAATTCACTGTGATAAATCTTAGTTTCATTATAAGTAAAACAGAGATGATAATTATAAGACGTTGTGAGAATTAACAGAAGAAACATATATAAATGTTCACATTTAATTTGGCACAGCGAAAGCACTCCATCATTATGTATATTTACTATTATGTATTGGTTTGGCTCAAATTTGATTTTTTTCTCAAATTCCTTAGTTGTTTTTTTTAATAATTCATATAATCAAAAAATGTAAGCAATGAACATAAGTAATCCACTTAAAGCATTAAAGAATTTACAAACACTGATGCTATAAAATAGATTTTGCATTAATTTTATTTAAAATTCATGTTTATGCTGTAAGCCAAATATCTATATATATAAAACCCTAACATGCAAATAGACTGAACGGCAGAACAACTGAACAACCAGTCGCTATGACATGTGCTGACCACCAGGGGGCACGCGTGGAACATGGCAGGCATCAGCCGCAGGAAGCACAGTGTGGAACATGGCGGCGTCGGACGCAGCAGGATGGTGGAGCAGGTGAGCAGGGGCTCCAGACCAAGGCAGGGCACCAGTCGCTGTCATCAGGGTGAGCCTCTGGTGGTTACTGAAAATTCTTTGCTCCCGTGTGCCACAGTCCCGCACGGCGCTCACACCAGTTGCCGGCACCGAAGCAGCCGCTCGCACCCACTGCCGGCACCGACCCACTCACACCCGCAGCTGGTGCCAGAGCCGCCACTCGCACCTGCTGCTGGCACCCGGCACTGGCCCCGATCGCTCAGTGCCATCAGCGGATTCGAGTGGCGGCTACTGGCCCTGATCGCCCCTCAGGGCTTCTCCACCTCCCCCTAATCCTGAGGGGAGGGTGTGAGTGGGGACCAGCACCATCAGTGCGTGGGAGCGGCGGTGGTAGGACTGCCAGCAGACAGGGGACCGGGAGCTTCAGCAGGAGGGGCTGGGTGGGGGCACAGAGGATGGGACAAGACCCACCCCTGTGCCCACCGCAGCATCGTGGCCCACAGTTCCTTTCAAGGTGCATGAATTTGTACACTGGGTCCCTAGTGGTTTAAATAAAATGGTATTTCTTATTCCCTGTTCTATAAAAAATTCAAAAAAAATAAAACTTTCTTTAAATATTTATTGACTTTTAAAACTCAGATTTAATTCTAGGAAAGTGACAAGGTAGAATTCAAGTACAGTTTTATTGGAGAAAATTAGGTATTTTGCTTCTTCAGAACATGGATTGTGGCATTTATTCAGTGTCCTAGGACAGAGTAGGTCCTCAAACGTTTGTTGAAAGCATGCAGAATGGGATGGGTGGATGGACAGATGGTAGGGTGGGTGTGTAGATAAACTGACCAACCTTATGCTATCAGTTGTAGTAGTTAGCTACCACTATGTAACAAATCATCCCAGTCTTATTGGCTTTAAACAACAAACATTTTAGGAGGGTGGGCAAATGTGTAAGTTGGTCAAAAGGTGTAAAACTTCCAGTTATAAAATAATGAAGTCCCGGGGATGTAATGTACAGCATGGTGAATACAGTTAATAATACTCTGTTGCATATTTGAAAGTTGCTAAGAGAGTAAATCTTAAAAATCCTCGCCGAAACCGGTTTGGCTCAGTGGATAGAGCGTCGGCCTGCGGACTGAAGGGTCCCAGGTTCGATTCCGGTCAAGGGCATGTACCTGGGTTGCGGGCACATCCCCAGAAGGAGATGTGCAGGAGGCAGCTGATCGATGTTTCTCTCTCATAGATGTTTCTAACTCTCTATCTCTCTCCCTTCCTCTCTGTAAAAAATCAATAAAATATATTTTTTAAAAAAAAAATCCTCAATACTTAAAAGAAGTCCTCAACGCACAAAAAAATCATAATGGTGACGGATGTTAACTACACATGGTGATCATTTTGCAATATATACAAATACTGAATCCTTACGTTGTACACTTGAAACTAATATAATGTTATATGTTAATTGTATCTCACAGTTTCTGTGGGTCCGGAATCCAAGAGAGGCTCCGCTGGGTGGTTGTGGGTCAGGACCTCTCAGAGCTTCCCCGCAGCCCTACCCAGGGACAGGATCTGGAGGATCCTTTTCCAGGCTCACTCCCACGGCTGCTGACAGGGCTGCCGTTCCGCACCATGTGGCCCCTCTCCACAGGGATGCTCACAGCATGGCTTCCTCCAAAGTGAGGGACTCGAGGGAGTGGGAGAGAAAATGTGCCCAGAAGGAAGTCTTTTATGAGGGTCTCAGAAGTGGCATGCCATCACTATGCTACTGTTCACACAAATCAACTCAGAGCGTGGGAAGGGCGTGTGCGGTATGAAAAACGGGCCGCAGGAATCACTGGGGGACATCTCGAAGGCTGTCAAGGTAGAAATCATCAAATCTCCTAAATCCTGGAGCCAAACTAAGACCATGGAAATCTGACACAGCACCACAGGTAGAGTTATATTTGCTCAGTTGCAAAAACGTATATGAACCATTACTCTTTACCAAGATAAAAAAAGGTCATATCTATAAAAGAATATATATCTACATTATCCATGAGAAGCATCAACTTTGGTTTTCTTCCTGTTCCAAAAGTGACTGACATGCTCTTGCTACCTAGTTTTCCACTCATGGCAATCTTGATTTCCATCCTAAAAACTCAGGACTTGGCACAGCAAACACATCAGTGCCTAGAAGATAAATTTCAAAAGTGGTGTTTCTCTTTTTCTAAAGCACAGGTGAGACCTAGATGAAGAAAAATAAAATAAAGTTTAGACCACAAAATGGTCTGTTACCTCTCGCCCCTACAGGCAATAACAGTGAAAGTAAGGAAACACTTTTCGGAAACACCTTATTACCCAAGTCTGAATTGGAAGGTGGATTTTGCATCACGAAAGCTTTGCGCTGGTTTCTCTCCGCTCCTTCATTTGTAATCAAGTGTCACTCAGCCTTGGACTAAACTTAAGTCCTAACTCACAGATGTTGACTCTCCAGATTCTAAGCTCTTCCAGGACTAGACCACGCCCGCGGGTCACCTTACTTGGCAAATTCTTCTTCGCTTTAACTGTTTCCAGAGGATGGTGACAACGGCCAGCATGGATTAATGCAAAGTACTTTAAATTATATCTCTGAGCTGGAATTAAGGAGAAACAAATGTCAGGCTAAACACGGGTGCCCCTGGATGAGAGGGTCTCCACGCAAAGGGCAGGCTTTATTTCTGGCTGCTTCCTACCCCGCTTCCTTCAAAACTGCCCTTTGCAAGTGTCTCACCATAGTTCCCTGAGTGCTAAGAAGACCGAGCCCTGGTGACCTCACTGTGTCTGTCTGTGTGGCTGTCCGCCCAGCTGCCCCTCCCTCGCCAGCCTGTGTGACCCTGTGTGAGTCGCTGAGTCAGAAGGTCCTCACAGTAAAAACAATCATCACTAACACCTTCAAACGATGGCATTTACTGTACATGATTACTAAACAGGGGAGGTGGGAGGGTGTTAAAATGTAGGCCGTGCAAAATTTATTAAAAGGCCTTTCTCACGGATGAGTTTATTGATGGTAAAAAAAAAACTTTTATCATGCTCTAGAGTTCATTACTCTTGCACTTGGCTTTGTTACTCTTCTGAACCAAACTTAATTACATACAAGAACCAATCAAAACACACTTAGCTGGAAGGACCGCGCAGCGTGACCCTGAATTAGCAGAAGCTGTATTACCTGCCCTCATTCAAATCGCACACCTTCACTCGTGTTTGTTCAAAACCAAACAGCAGGCGCAGGGCATCCTCAAACATTCTTCGTGGCTTCCCGTACAGGCATTTCCAAGTAGAAAGCGTTTGAATATCTCAAGTTAACAAGAAGTGGAAACCGCTCCAGCAACAATCTGTCCAATTCCAACTCTAGGAAACCAAAATGTCAACTAAAGCACTTCACCCTGGGCCTCTTCTGTGATGCTCCATTCCACTTAGAAACGATGGGTTCACTTCCATTCACTCTGTGCTTCTGGCGGCTCAGCACTGGAAAGGAGACCAGAGGCCCCCACAGAGTCTACCCCTGTGGTCTGCTGACACCTCCTCCCCCACACCATGCAGGGGAGGTTGTCAGCATGGTCTCCAATGCTGTCACCTCAGCCTGCAGGCGCTCTACCTCACTGCTCAGTGAAGGCCCAACACCTTTACAATAAACTCCAAGCTCATGGCCAAGATCCACGAAGCCCGGCATGATCCGCACGGCATGTCTTTGAGCCGCATTCCGTTTCTGTGCCACGGCAGCCACACTGGTCCTCTGGCTCTTCCTCACACGCGTTCTTTTCTACCTCAGGGACTTTGCTGGTGCCTCTCCCTCTGCACCCAGATCGCCATAGGCATCCTGGGAATCCAGGTTCTGCTCAGATACCCGCCCCTCCCTCCCAGGGGCCTTCCTGACCAGCCTGTCTCACACTGCACCCCCCGTATCCCCATCGCTAGCTGTGATTTTCATCTGCATGGACTCATCAACATGCCTGTTATCTGCCACATGGGTACACCTGAGAAGGTAAGTTCTATAGTAATACAGTTAATAAAAACTAAGATTTATATTTTATATAAGACATTCGGTGCCAGGAACAGTTCAAGCACCTTAGTTCTCACAACAACCCGACAAGGCAGGTAACATTACCTTCATCTTACAGGTAAGCGCACCAAAGCACACAGAGGGCAAGTAATGCTGCGGAACACACAGCCACTAGGTGGTAAAGCTGGGATGCAGATCTGAAGTGGGTGGCTCCAGAACCCCAGCTCCTACCCATCCCTCCCACTGCCTTCCCAGCAAGCAGGACCTTCTCTGTCTCCAGGGCTGAGTCTGCCAGAGCCCAGTGCTGGGGAGAGGAGGGCGCTCACTCACCTCCTACACACAGCCCACTTCCTTCCCTCCTCTTGGCCCCAAATCCTTCCAGCTCAGGGACCTACCATCCACCCCACCAGTGCTCGCAGCGTCTTCCCTGCAAGTGTATCTGAAACCACACAGCACGGTGACTCAGCCCTACATCACTTCACTCCCAGAGCAATGATGGGAAGGATTCAAAAAGCATCTCTCCATTCAAATATCCATTTCACTGACTCACTCATTTTCTTTTTAATTCCAGAAAAAGGAATCGAGTTAGAGAGAACAGCCAGTTTGTTTGTGTTTTGTTTTGTTTTGCTTTGTTTTGTTTGCCACAGCTATACACAAAAATCTAAAGATCTCTGGAACAATAAATAAGAATTGAACATTAAGCCCAGTCCAATTTTCTTACAGTAATTTATCCAACGAGGCACCACCTCAGCCTCCCAGCCCTTCCTGCTATTCCAGCTCCCATTTGGGCCATAACATTTCTGTCTTCCAGAGAGCACATTCCCCAGGCTGGAAGCAGCCTGCTGCTTAATCAGAACGCGATCCAACAAAACCTTCCTAGCGGCCGGGCTCGTTTCCTCGTTCCCTTCGGGAGCAGCTGGCTGAGAGCTCACTGGGACGAGTGGTTTCAGCTATTCTTGCTCTCAGGGTAGCACTATTTTTCCTCCGAGCAGCGTAGCCCGGCAACCCCATGGAAACCTGATTAACCTCTTTGGGGATGTGCTTATAAACTCATAGCTCTCTTCGCTTCAGGGAATTTTAATGGTGCACCTCTCTGTTTCACAACAGTCTTAAAATACCCACAGAAATATGAGCAAAAATCGGTGCTTCTGGAATATTCTTTCTTTTTCCCTGGTTCTTATTCTGTTTTCAGAATGCAGGTCACCTTAAGAACTGGAAATTATACCTCACCTCTCTAAAGAACAGCCACATTCATAAACTTGATGAGCCCTGGCCGGGTAGCTCAGTTGGTTGAAGCATCTTTCAGATACGCCAAGGTTGCATGTTTGATCCCCAATCAGGACACATATAGGAATCAACCAGAGAATGCATAAATAAGTGGAACAACAAATTGATGTTTCTCTCTCTTCCTCTCCTCTAAAATCAATCAACACATAAAAATTGTTTTAAAAAACCTTACAATTTTTGAAAAATAAACTTAATGATACGGGGTCTAAAGGAGTTGATGGTAGTGAATAGCTTGTGTGTTAATAGGACAAACCAGCTACTCCAGTCTGTGGCAGCCCAGCTTAGGTGATCCTAGCACCAGGCCATGAGACCAAGGACACAGAAGCAGTCTCCTTACAAACTGAGCTCGGCAACATCCCAGGGTTCACCTGCACTCTTGGTCCCAGAGAGTCATCTTGAAAGTATGTGCTGGTGACTCAAGATTACCTGGCCTCCAAAGGGGTCAGTGCACACGGATCACCATTCCTAAGACAGCTGCCAAGTCTTTGGTCCTGGGCAAGAGCATCCCTGAACCACCACCAGGACTGGGATTACAGTGCAAAGGGTAAGGCAGGGGTGGAAGGGCAGGGTGGAATCCTGACTGTATTGAACACTTGATATTTTGTTCATCATAAGCTTTTTTATTAATTCTCATTTTTTTAAGTATTACCTTGATTATTGGAGTTGTTGGTGCCCCTCAATGTTTGCGCCCAAAGCAAGCGCCTGCCCTGACATCCTATCTCTTTGGATTAATTGCTCACATCTTAAGCTTCGTGTGTCAGTTGATTTACTCATCTCTGCTATGTCATGCAATTTAATCCCCATGACAACCGTATGAGGTAGGTACTTGCTATTACCTCCATGTTACTCAGGATACTAAAGCACAGGCAGAACTTGCCCCAGGTTGAACATGAGTAACGGCAGGGACTCTGAGGGCTCCACCCGAAGCAGCCGGAGTGGAATTTGTGGCTGTGCTGGAATTCCTTGGCAGGTAAGGTCACAACCCCTTAAGTGCATGGCCCACCTTCACCTACAGGAAGGGCAGCCAATGAATACAACAGAACACTCGAAGTAGAAACCAAAACAGCTTGTTGGGCTATCACGAGCTAAAGGTAAGTAGTGTCACACTACCCTTAAAAGAGTATTTAAACAAACAAGCTTCTCAGGTCCCAATTGCCTCCTCAAATATGGTTAATGAACCACAGGAGAAAACAGGATCAGCTCCGGAATCTGCGCCAAAAGCAAACTTGCTGAAAGCCTCAGAAAGAGGAACCCAGCACAGGGGAGGTGGAAGGACCAAGGATGTGTGCATTTGCACCTGGGGAACATCAAAGCCAGAGCTAATTTTAGGACTGGCTGGCCTGTTGGAATCTCTTTACCTTAATTACATACTTCTGATAATAGAGCTTCGAGATTGGCCCAGATTCAGATGCAAGAGACAAATTTGGGTGCACACCCCAACTCATCTACGGATAAAATTAGCATAGGTTTGAGAAGGTATTTATAGAATCTTTTCAGCTGAACCTAAGGATCTCTTCAAATATCCATTCTTCTACTAAAGCAATAATTTTTTAAAAAGTTAATTTAATATGGGTAAAATCTGGACCACATCACTTAAAAAAACACGTCATAAGTAGCATATAGGTTGCATTTCATGTGCCAATTCCAATAAATTAAGAATAACTTTGCAAACAAAACTGTGGGGCCGCAGTTTCCTACCTCTGGTGGGAAAAGGTGCCATGACTGGTCAGCATGTCGGCCAGGGGCATGGGGAGTCAATGGCCAATGATGTATGCACATCTAACCTAACTGCTTCCCTCCCCTATACCCTTTCCCTTAAGTTGATTACCCAAAAGTCAGTGAAGGATCGTGAATCTATGAACTAGGGTCTTTATAAATATCTGCAACATTTATTACATGCTTCTTGACTATGAATCTAGGTCGTCACAGAGCATGTTCAGATGGGCACTATTTTAACTGTTTTAGTTTTAACGTGTCAATTTTCTGTTTTCCGTCCTCTTGGTTTTCCCACAATGTCACTATCCTTTTCACCTGAATTCAGAGATGCAAAATATGTGAGCCAAACTGGGTCTCTACCAACTCATTGTCTGAACTCACTGCTCTCTTGAGACCATAGCCCCCATTGTTCTGAGACAATATGACATTTCCTCCAAACAGGTAGTTAGTAAATAAACAAATACTGGAAATAAAGTTTATTTTAGCCTCCCAAGTACCAGGGAGGGAAAAGCAAGGGAGTCCTAATTAAAACAGTTTATTAGTCTTATACTCACTTCAATAATCTTTGATCCCATTGAACCCTTTGGAGTGTGCTATCTACATGAATTTTCAGAAACTTCAGAAAGACATGCCATTTCCAACTTTGCCCAACTGCATATCATGTACATTTCCAACAAGGAGGTGCCTGTACACCAATTAGCTCCAAGTAGCCACCTGTATATGACCACATGACCCCTTACCAAGTTGCCAACTATGGGCACTTTGACCATTCTTAGTCAGAGAGATTAAGTTCATGAATAAAGTCTCGGCTTGAATGCCATCTCCTGCAGGAAACCTTCCTGCCACCTGCCACCTGCTGTGTCGATGATGTTAAGAATACCTGTCTGTCACATGCTCCTGAAGCACTCTCAGCATGTTCTAGTTACACACTCAGGGTGAGAGCATGGCGATCCAATTCATCATGGAACTCAAGAGACTCGCAAAGCCTTTCGAAGGGACACGCTCAGTAAATGAGGAAACACTGTACTTGCCATCAGCACCAAAAGTGGGGTTGGAAGGGCTATTGCAGAGAACAGGACTCAGAGGTAAGAGGCCTGGGCCTCAGCCCCACTCTGACCCTAACCATAAACAAGAATTTCTGCTACCTGCCGGGTCGGTGTGGCTCAGTTGGTTGAGCAACCTCCCATGCCTCAACAGGAGTTCGCCTGTTTCAATTCCTGGTCAGGGCACATGCCCAGGTTTCAGGCTTGATCCCCAGTAGGAGGTGTACAGGAGGCAGCTGATCAATGATCTCTCTCATCAATGTTTCTCTCTCTCTCTTCCTCTCTCAGAAATCACTAAATAAAATAGCTCCTTTTTTTAAAATATATATTTTATTGATTTTTTCACAGAGAGGAAGGGAGAGGGATAGAGAGTTAGAAACACTGATGAGAGAGAAACATCAATCAGCTGCCTCCTGCACACTCCCCACTGGGGATGTGCCCGCAACCAAGGTACATGCCCTTGACCAGAATCGAACCTGGGACCCCTTGCTCCACAGGCCGACGCTCTATCCACTGAGCCAAACCAGTTAGGGCAATAGCTCCATCTTTTAAAAAATAAAAATAATTTCCACTATCTGTCCTAAAGTTCCTCCATCTGCAAAGCACAGGTAAAACCTCCCCTCCTCTCCACCACACTACATTACCCTGAGACCACAATGGTATATTTTGGAAAAACTATTTTAAAGCTTTTAAAAAGGGGGTAAGGGAGATATAAACATGAAAATTGGCCATCACAGTTTCATTCAGCACTTCCCTCTGAGTAAAGAAAACTTTTA